GTGCATTATACGTAGGCACAATACTGAACGAAGGCGCGTTTATTGAGGTATTCTTCTATAATAAGGTAGTCGCGCTTATATTTACTTACCTGTCCTGTATTAAGCAGCAGAATATATAGCGAAACACTTCTTAATCATATATATATCAGAGTTGATACACAAAATTTGCTCCTCCTTAATGTATGTATTGCTCGATATTATCCGAAAACAACTTCTACTTACACACAATCTACAACGATTAAACTATTTACTAGTTGTATCAAGTATAGCTTAAGAGATATTACTTTCTGCGCTTGCCAAATTAATTATCTATGACCTTCTGAGACACTTCATGTGAGCACAACGCGTTTATTTCAATTATATACTTTTACGTACATATTCGTTTAGATTAATTAAAGGGCCTCGACATACTCGAAGTACTTTCGGGCAAACTACTTCCTTGTGAATATCACAAAGGAGACGGCGGAGGCAAATTGCAGAAAGCGCTTGCTCCGAAATGGGCCCGTTGGGCTAATAATGAGCTTCTCTGGCAAAGTAAACGCTATAACGCCCGTCAATCTATACAGCGCCCCCAAAACGACGCACCCGCTAGTCATCTTTAATGCGAAACAATCCCGAGCAGCCTGTGAAACTTTCTAAACTAGTAGTATTTAAAGCACGCTAATGACATGTGCCCAAGTATAGATGCAGAGCTCTACGTGCGAAAACGTGTTCGGTTGTCTCGTGCTCCTGGCTTTTGTGAATGTCTTCCTCTGCCGAGATCTGCCATTCGGCAATGATACCAAATGCTAGTTTATAAGCAATTTGTCTAATGTTGAAGGCCAAAAAACGTTCGCAGCTGGCAGAGATTGGCTAGCAAGTTTTGCGCCTCAAACTGGCCTTACAGCTCTATAAAACGAGCCACAACTGTAGCTGACTGCAAGTCCGTTATGTTTGTCTCTAAACGGCTTGTCTCTACTGCGGAACGACGGATGTCCTCTATTTTCTAACTTCATAAACATAATAGCTTTGTAGTATTCTTAAGTTATGTAGTAGAGACCTTGCAGTAGAGACAACGTTTCTTATGACTCGAGCTGAAACGGACGCGCCTTTTGGGAACAACTTAACTATGGGCGAGCAACCGACGCTTTCTGAACGAGTATAATAAATTAAGATTATTAATAACACTGTGATAAGCAGCTCATGATATTTTCACAGTTTTTCGGTTGTGCTTTATAAAGCTACCTGCGAAATAGCATAAGCACTCCTAAACTAACTGGCAGTAAGTAATTTGCATCTAATGTACTAAAAACCGGCTTGTTATCCATATATATATATATATATATATATGTGTGTCTCTGTGCGCGTTCGCTTCTCAAATGCTTGAGACACTACGAGCAGCGTTACTTGCAGATTTTATAATAATTTCATATATTATTTCGTTTCATAGCACTGCTTTCTCGTCAAAAGTACACTTTGCGTTAATCACCGTTATCTGACACTATCGTTTTTCTTGTTATAGTAAGGTTATTGTGGATATGGAGATTTCTGACTGCACACGAACCTCCTGCGGCACCGGAGACGTATGCAACGCTTTGGACATAAATTATCGAAGTATTCGCCACGCTATCGAACGCTTTTTGTTGGATAACGCCATGGATTGAACTTCTCGTTGTAAATAGGTACTCACTACTATTATTCTTCATAGGATCAGTGAAAAAAAACTAAAAAATAAAAACATTTCATTATTGTTTAACATCATAATTAACAAAATAACACCATAACAACAACAATATTTGAAGAAACGGAAGCTGTTTAAAGTATCAAATATCAAAACTTGAAAAACAAACATTATATTATCGAACAGCAATGTTCTTTCGATACTCTTCAACCAGAGGCTTAAGAACAGACCCCTGTACATTTCAGCTAAATGTTCTACAATGACGGTACTATTCATCCAGAAGGCATTAAAAATCGCCTTCCACATGAGACAGGCAACAAACTAATAGCCTGCTTTAATATTTTTATAAGGAAAAAAGCAACAGGATGACTTTGGACTTATCAGACTTCCTTAAGTAAATCTCTTGTCGGGAATTTCAGGATTTACATCTCCTCCTCCCACACACACACAGACACACACACACACACACGCACACACCCACACGCACATCAGCTAAAGTTGAGGCGCAAATGCTCACCTTAGGAAACGAAATGTACATTTTTTTAGTTTGTTTTAGCAGGCGGTAGGTAAAGCCATCAAAGATTCAAGTTTCACATTGGGCATAGAAACTGCACATCTAAGCCGCGAACGAATCACTGCTCGATCGTTTACGCTACTGTGACACGGACAACGCGGATAAAATACGCAACGAATCCAGCAAACGTATATTCTGTAAATACGATAAATTACTCTTACTAAATTTGATACTACTACTATGTTTTATCTTTTCATGGTGAAAGGCTTTTCTAAACATTAGCTTGATAGTTACAATGACACGTAAAAAAAACAAATATCAATTTATAGAGATATTAGGTTAAATAATATCAGTTGAAAAACGTTTCATTCTGAAAGTCTCAAAAAAAATTGCCGCCCAGAGCTTACTTCTTTGTAATGTATTAGCTTAATCAAATGTTTTATATATGTTAACAATTAGGACGCCTCGTTCGTTAGGTCAGACCTGGATGTAGTGTGTTAGGACATGTGTCTTTAGTCAGCGAGGCCAGCGACTCGAACAAGAAAGGCAGCTTTCCGTTTTAAGTTTTTGCAGCGTTCTAGGATGGCTCCGAGCAAAAGAGACGCGGATTTTCTTCGGGGTTTAATTTTTCTAGATAAGATACGATAGCGAGTTAACCGCGGTCCTATATTTAAGTCAGCACAATCGACTACTACCGATGTGGACGGATACGTTAAAAAGGTAAAACGGAGTTTTATCAATCTTGCCAAATAACAATATCCATGAAGGATATGGTAGCTGAATTTAAACATTTCCTTCTTAAATCAGTACCTTTCATAGATCACAGCTTATAGCTACGGGTTAGTCTTAAGTAGTAATATAAGTTACCGGATTAGTTACATGAGATAAGTGTCGAAATTAGATCAACGTTTCAATTCTATTTAGTGTTGAAGCGAGATGTTGTGAACTTACAGTAGTGTCAAATTGCAATGACAAAAGAGACCCAAAGGCAAGTACCTCGATTTCAACTTTGTCCCCTAAGTGCCTCCCTTTTTCGCGAAGTAGCTTCTTGCGCTATAGATGCACTGACCGAAGACAAAATTAACAATTCTAGTAAAAAAAAAAAAAAATATTATTTAATAATAATTGTGCTAGTAGGACACCTGCCTGCGATCGATAACCGTCAAATTGGTTGGCACTGCCAATTCGTGTCGAAATAAAACGATCCCAGGCCCAGACGAAAATAGAGAAGGGCAATAAAAACAACTATCTTGTCAAAGAGGAAGAGTTCTCATACGAATATGACCATGTTGAAAACAATAGCCCGGCTAGGTTCAAACAATAATGATTTTCTGCCAATTGAACTTGAATCTACAAGGAATATTGGTGGTACGAGAGTCGTTTAGATCGCCGTAAACTATCCATGTTTAATCGCGGTTCCTGTCATTGCTACTAACGATTATACCTAAAAGTTGAGAAAGCGTTGACTACCAATAGCATCGCTATGAGAATTTTACAATCGACAATGTAGCCTGAAACTCCTATAAGGTCACTGTAAGGTTTTAGTTCTGAAAATTAGAGAAATCTATCACAAGAGAAACGTTTGCCGAATCTACGGAGTGACAACGTATATTGATATATAAAAGAAGTAATGCAATATTTAAGTATCAGTAATCTCAGTTTAGAGGTAACCTGATAGAAGCTTTGCATCATATAAAGATTTAAATGTCACAAGGAGACGTGATTCATCCTTCTTGGCGCCTAGTAGACGATTGTTTTTGAACAGTCGAAATCCTGGCGTGTTAATGATCAGCAACTTACTTTCATCGACAAAGTTTGCTGGCCATCACTTCTTCAAGATGAGCATCGCCACAATGATGATCCGTTATGACTGACCGCCATCTTATCAATATACAAAGCCAATCATGGTCAACTAGCCTAGTTTTATCCATTATTTAGAGAAAAGGCGAAGTAAGGTGCAACTATACGGAAACTCCTTTATCGACAATGTAACATTTGCATAGTTGTTACTACCGTTATCGGCGAACTTGTAATACAGTGGCTCACTTTTACAGAGCGGTGCGCCTCATACCCTGCGTTCCGAATAACTCGTAAAAGGCCGCATTTTCTTTTATAATGAAAAATTAGTCCTACACTGTGAACAGGCAACAGAAGATCAAGCCATTGTTGATGGCTCAAATATCAGTGTCGCGAAACAAAGTCATCATTGCAGGGAAGTATGAACATCGAGCACTGTGAGCACCAGGATTGCAACACAGGGGGCAAAAGATGCTGCTTCACCGGCGTTTCATAGACCTGTTGGAAGGAATTCAAGTGGGTTTGGCCAAGATCCACTTCTGCTAGACCTTTAGTAGGGGTACAGAGTTAATGCGGTATCGACGGGCCAGTACAAACAGCCTTGAATGTGATGAAAGGAAAACAAAACTTGAATGTAAATAATCGATATTTACAAGGCGCTAAGTTCACCCCTCTCTCTGACATAACACTGAAAGCATCTTCAGAATAATTATTTAAGTTTTCTTTTTATATAATTATCTCAAATAATATACGTACGATTATGGATGTTCGTGTCGAATATTTCAGCGACTTATTCGCACTGATATGGCACCATGCATGAAAATACCTACGTGTTTATATTGTATGCCTTACATTACAAAAATCCCTCAGTTATCCATTCGAGATTAAAAAAAAAACAAAACGGGGAGTTACCTGCTCTTTCCATAAAAAAGAAAGCTAGAACAGAAGTAAGGACAAAGTCTTTTAGAGCTGTCATGGTGTCGCCTCTCGCGCGTGCGTCGTATATCTTAGGAGCTTATAAGTACTTACCTGTGTTTGGTTCTGAAAGACGTTTTTGTAGTCGAAGCTACGCGGGTCCCAGACGTTAGATCCTCGATGGAAGACAAATACCTTGCCCATGGAATCGACGTGTACGCCACACACTTCGCCTAACAGCTCGGAGCGCAAAATCTCGGCATTCGGCCACGAAGGATCTTCACGGATGAAGTTCGGCTGGTCCTCTAGAACCTGCGACATAACAAAACGAAATGCAACGTTATAACGTCTCGTATCTTACCGTGAGCACTTGAGGCGTCTTTTCAGTCCCATTTTCAATATAATGAAACGTTCAAAAGTACGTAGGTGTATCAAGCGAGAGAAGATTTTTGCGCATTTATGTGCTTTTCGATGCACATACAAACTTTGAAATTGAATATAGAAGTGAAAAATAGAAGAAACAAGTTCGAACAATAATACAGTGTATTTCTAAAAGAGTAACAACATCAAATGATAAACGTTTGTGCCAGCCAACAATTATTGCTAAAATAATTTATGTCTCTATATCAACATATATAAATAGCCAATATTCAGTAATTACTATGCATTGTGATTAGTTATTTATTCTACTGTATTAGATGAATGAACCGACTATTTGTCTACGTTGTCATCTCGGCAACGACCATTACACACAGGAGTAGAAAACACAAAACCGTGTCGCCCGCCATTATTTAAGCTGAGATATATTCCTATATATTATCAAGCAAAGAGTTCTTATTTTGATTTTCGAGCTTTCTATCAGCAACATTAAGGCTGTCAGTGTCGACGGGTGGCTATTGTCTAATAAAAGCTATCTCGAACTCGAATTTTACTAAAGCCGATCAACAATCTACAATGCTGTAGCACCGATTTCAGTGTATTCTGAGAAAAGTTGCAGACCCTAAACGTCGTAATTATCCGTCGTATAGAGCTTCAAGTATGACTCCATTGTTTGTGACTAATACCAGTGAATACTGGGACAGGGTTTCGGTTTTGCCTTTTTTTGCTTGTACTCCTTTAACCGTCCGTATTCGTTCTTTCCATGTGTTCAATTTAGGCCATCACCTAGAATAAGGATGCTATATATTGCAGCCAGAAAATCGGCTAAAGCTTCAATCCTGATGCATACATAAATCTACACGTCTATTGTAGGCTTAAGTGTATACACGTGTATTATGAACCAAGCTCCTTTAATCTATTCCTGCCTCGACCGGCTCTGTGCAGCCCTGGTTCCCTGATCTGAATAGCTTGCAGCCTTATACTGTCGTAACCTAACGAAACATGTATGTTGACTTGTGCATTTTTTCTCTTATCATACGCCTTCAATATTGCTAACGCCGAAGCAAAGGACAGTATCAAGATGTAAGTTATGACGCGGAGGGTGTCCAGGTTCGCCAAGTGGAACTTACAGATAATCCTAACTTTTAAGATCAATTCCAACCACAAACTTTAGTGGACCGCAGTGACATAACTTTGGGCCCAAGGGAAATGGCAATCGAATAAAGTCTATTGGTATGATCAAGCAGCCCGCTATATGTGGCTGTACTGTTCACATGTGCATGTTTCACATTAAAATGCATAGCAAAATGTTGAAAGACAATGGAACAAAGGTACCGGCAACGCACAAACCTTGCCATGCTTAGGACCTTTTGAGCGATGGATGAAAATCGGACCATTTTTCAAGAGACAAAACAGAGGCCGTAGACGGAGAACAGCGAATAGAAGCCGACGACAACGAGAAGATATGTATTACATCGCACCTCGCGCATCATCAAACTCTAAAAAAAAACGGAAAACTACCCCCAGCATCGTTATGATGGTGCATGGGTAGCCCACGAACATCTACTGGCGTACGCATTCACCCAGTACTGGCGAATGCGTATCACATCACGGCAACTACGACTAACAAAAAGAGCATAATACGAACGGGACCGGAAGTCTGGGGCTCTGATCGGGCATCAAAGTCGAGTCGGCGAAATACATTTACATATTTATGTCGTTGTACAGGCCCTGCCGTTCGTAGAGTAACAAATGGCGGAGGGGAGGGGTTTTAGGGTTCATCGCGTAATGCAGAATAGAAATGGCATCTAGCGCCCCCGCTGTGCCAGCTATTTGGGCAAACCAGGCAGAATAGTCCACAAGCTCGGCAGGAAATTTTCTAGCGGAACTACTCCATTATTGTGTTTTGCTTTTATTCAGTCGGGGCACTGCTTCGTGACAGCCGGAGTAACGACCACAATGGTTAGCTTCAAATCGCTTCTAGCAAAGGAATAGAGAGGGAACTTTCAGTATCATTCCGGATAGACTTTTCTTTAGGGTTATTGCTCGATCCGGATTTTGCCGCAAAATTTTAAGGTGATGAAGGCGGACAGCAACGGCAGTATCAACAATAGTAATAGTGCGTTGGCAGTGATGGTAGAAGAAAGTCTTATTATCTGCTCCTAGCTGGCGAGAGAGCACGGCCAGTAAACAAAAACGGTCGCATAGAGAAAAAGAACACATAAATGATATTTTGAATTTCGCTAACATCAGCTTTGCAAAGTGACAGGAATCAAATATGGCGAAGCGGGATTTTTTGTGCAGTTCAACACTTATTTTAAGCGCTCAGTTATAAAGCTAATTCCAGTATTATAGAGGTGATATTCTTATATTATCCAACATTGAATCCATAGATGCTTAGCAAAAGTCAATGTCAGTCATTCCTCCATCAAAAGTTTTTCACGTATCAGAGGAGTACAATTAATTTACTAGCGTTTCAGGGTAATTCAATCAATTCTTACTGACAAGCATCGGTTCGCTTTACTCACGTCTCAGCTACTACCTGGTCCTCTTCCAAAAATATATACCCTGCACGAAAGTAACGGCTACATCGACAGGAACAGCTGCAGATACCTGCCGCCATTAACGGTGTACCTCACTGCAACTGCACACCATGCGGACAGGTGTTCAGTCGCACAGAAGTTCGAGTACGGGACGACAATAGCACGTACTGGTTATTTTCGATAGTAAAATGCCTCTACACGGCTGGTGCAGGCCAGACGATTCGTGCTTCCCTTTATCCTTTCGTAAAGTTCCGTATCTAGAGCGGAGTGAACGTGTGAGTATATCGAAAGTTGGCGTTGTGAAACGAAGTTGAGGTACGGACAAAAGACGTTTAAATAGACTTTAAAGCAAAATGTTTCTTGACTCCTTCGGAACTTAGAGGCCTACATTGCTCGCTCAAGCGAATAGAAACGCCCTACAGTTATTTCCTTTATCGATAAATCGACAACAGGGGTTGTTTCGACAACAACTAGCTTTGCCAGCAGCGCCTACTACTACTATTATTATTGTTACCCACGACAAAGATTCGACATTGAAAGACCGCCGAATGTCGGGAAGTTGCAAGGGCGAATGGGTGATCGAGAAATCGTGTAACGATCAAAATTGCGCTCGTACGTTTTCTACTCTCGATAAATGAAAACAACTACGGAGAAAATAAGAATAATAAGTATCGAGTTTATATACGAATACTAATGTAATTTGTATTCGCTTCTGACGGAGCTGTGCATTGTTGCGTAGTTCACCTGTAGTTTATGAGGAAACTGATACGCGCTACTGCCTTCGAACAGCTGTCGGTATATAAAAATTTATAATGCACACTCCTATGTGTAGACACTGAGAAAAGGTATAAAGCCAACGGTAAAAGACGTTCGAGAAGTTTTAGTTTGGCAACTCAGGCAGGGCATTTGCCAGTAGTACTTGTTTTTCAACTTTTTTTTAAGAGTTTCTTAGATATCACAGACAAACTAACTAGAGAAGTTACGAAACGAATGAACCCCACTACTTAGCTATTCTTTCAACACCTCTCATTGAATTGTGCTCACAAAATCCTCTCGAAGATATGGAGAATAGATCTCGAAATTTGGACTTCGCCACATCGACTTGCTATTTCATAAGTACAAAAAATAGTACGTGTGACGTCAAACCTATCAGATATATGGCATCATAAAGAAAGGTAAATGGGATCCTCAAAACATTTCTGGGGTAATTTCTTTAAACAAAAAAAACTCAGTTCCTCGTGTTGACAAACAAAAGACGTTCATAAAACTACTTTAACTATTCAGGTATTTTTTTTATGTCAGATTTAGAGATTTCGATATTTTTTTTTTCAAATATAAAAATATCATCGATAAAGCAAAAGGTTTCTAGAACTGATCATTATCACATATATTATATTGTATTCATTTCAACACCGTGACAGCAGTACGCGTTTACTGAGATATGAACCTGTGATACAATCCAACGAGTCTTGAATAGCATTATCAAGTTAGTGTTCTGATACATAGAGCTGACTGGATTCATTCGTTTGTCGTACAAATGGCGCTATCAATACGAGTATTTGTTGTGTTTCGCCAACTTGGTGATTGTGTCTTTCGTATCGAACAGGTAGGTCGTCCGAACAAAAAGAACAAAGAAGTATTTGGGATTGTTAGATTCCAAATATGAAATAGTACGGCTCGAATAGGAAGCTAAACAAGAAATAAAAGAACATAAAAAGCGTTGTATGATGTTTCGATACGGTATACGTATATGCCGGACGGAAATCAAACAGCGTCCAGATGCAGACGCACTGCTCTGGGTGAACAGCGTCGGGTCAGGATGTGTCGCAGAGTAGGCGCATCAGAGAAGCTACTACTAAAGCGGCACACAAATCTGGACCTTAGGTTCATGAAAGAGACTGCTGCGGAAGAACTGTCGCCTAGATAGACCTAATCAGTTGCGTTAGACTGCCTACTCGAGCAGTATCGACAGGGACATCAGCATCGGAACCAATGGAAGTAGATATAACGGGGATAGTCGCAGAATTAGAAACAACGGCAATGCTGGGCCTCCCTTCGACGCAGCAGTTCGTATTGCAGCCAATCCCTGAATAAATGTTAGGTGTCCGTTTTTTATAGAAACATTAATAGAAACCCAAAAGGCAGTAATGTTGCTTTCTTGGATGGACAGACAAGTAAGCTCAATTTCAGGCAACTGCCAAAGTGTATCAGTAAGACACGCGCCTGTCGGCAGAAAAGGCCGCTGAATAGCTCAACTATGTTATACGGGAAGTGGGAAAAAGAGACATCACCAACATAATCGATTAGGAAGGAAACAGCAATCAGCAACGAAGGAATAGCTACTGGAGATCAGCCGCAGTGGTGGTGGTGCCAGTGGTTGTTTATAGCGAA